TTTCTTTCCTTGTTTTAAAACCTAAGTCATCTTAGGTTAAAAGGAAAAAAAGAAAAAATTCTGCCCCTAGTGGTAGGAGCGGATTAACCGGCTTTGCATTAGTTCCTATGGGAAATGCCCCTCAACCTAAGAACCAAAAACAGCCGGAACAGATTAATTGGTTTTCAGTGCATTCCTATGGGAAATGCTGATTCGACTTACAAACTTTTCGACTTACAAACTTCGTTCCATTACGGATTAAGTTTGTAAGTCGAGACCCCACTGTATAGATCAGTGGTTCTTAACCTTTGTTACTCGGATGCTTTTGAACTGCAACTCCCAGAAACCCCAGTCAGGACAGCTGGTGGTGAAGGCTTCTGGGAGTTGCAGTCCAAAACTCCTGAGTAACCCAAGGTTAAGAACCAGTGGTATAGATAGCCATTCATGAAGCTTTGCTTTTAAGCAGGTACACAATTAAAAATACAAGCTTCCCACAATTTGAAGAACAGCTCAAACAGACATCACAATCATATCCATAATATTAAGAAAAGGTCTATTAAATTAAATGGAGACTATTCCCATATAAACAAATACTGTATAGGATTTCAGACTCATTTAGTTTACAAATCTACTCTTCAATACAGAATAATCTTAGGATCACTTACCACATAAGAAACACAATAAAAACTAGAATATCCAGTCAATTTTTTTAAAAAATATATCTTTTTAAAAAAAACTCTAAGAAAATATATTAAACAAAAGTGGCACAATATGAAACATTAAACTGCATCTGTAACCAGGTGGAATCATAATTGAAATCACTAGTCAGAAAGTCTTGATTTAAATCATGATTTTTAAATGTAAAGACTCATTCTTGCTGGTGGTTACAAACTTTAATATTTGCAACCAGATGAAGATTTCATATTTAGAATAATAACATGTCAGATTAGTAAACAGCTATATCAGAACTGATTTTAGTTTACAATAACATTATACAGTCTACTATTTTTACTGTGAAAATGTGCATGTTATCTCAGCTTGGATAACTTAGATTAATTGAATTACAGTGGTGCCTTGCTTAGCAATTATCTCGGTTAACGATGTATTCGCTTAGCAATGAGGTTTTTGGAGCGATTTTGCGTTCTGTTTAGCGATGTTTCCTATGGGGAAATTTCGCATAGTGATGTTCGGGACCTTGCCTCGCTTAGCGATGACAGTTTAGGTCCCCCTGTTTCACTTAGCGATGTCCGTTTTCACTATTTTAAGTTCAATGCATTCCAATGGGGGGGGGAATTCACCAAAAATTAACGAAGAGTCAGAACAAAGCCAAATTAAGTTTGCAAAGGTTTTACAAGGTGCACTAACGATCCCAAGCATTTAATACAGTTTTTGAACATTTTAAGACACTTTAAAAATAGCAAAAACGGACCTGTCAAAACCATTGAAATGCATTGAAACCTATTCAATGCATTCCAATGGGGGAAACCGCGTTTCGCTTAGCGATGTTTCCTATGGCGATTTTCGCTGAAGGACGGCAATCCGTTCCCATTGGAACGGATTATCCGGTTTTCAATGCATTCCCATGGGAAATGGTGTTTCGCTTAGCGATGTTTTCCCATAGCGATGTTTTTTGGGAACCAATTAACATTGTTAAGCGAGGCACCACTGTAGTCTTATCAAAAATGTAAATATTCCATGAATATACAGCCTCATGCTACATAACTAAGCTCGACTTCATGCTGAATAAACTTTGAACTATAAAGCACCTTAAATAGATAATTATCTTTAGATAGATTTTTATTCTAAAAGCATTTATTTAAAATGAATCTGATTTACATTAAAAATCCAATATAAATTAAAAATCTGATTTAAATTTTTTTAAAAAATCTAAAATTTTAAAATTAAAAAAATCTGATTGATTGAAAATAATCTATTTTTGTCCACCTTATCTGAAACCATTCCCAAAACTCTCTCTGGAGTCCATACTGGTTTCTGGATACAGTTGCAGGTTGACCTATCCATCTGAACTGTAAAAGTGGGCCAATGATTTTTCACATCAACACCAGCACTCAGGCAGAGAACTAAAAATGGAATGAAGATGTGCTGCTTGACCAAGAAATAAATGTAAGCACATCATGAGTTAAATAAAGCTGTCATACCTTTGAAACCATTCCCTGTTACAGTATTTCCAAATAAACATACCAACCCACAGGCAGCAGGTGAAATTACAAAGAGTTGATCATATCATGTTTCTTGTCACTTGTGATTTTAAAGTATCAGGTTCCACAAATCCAGAAACAAGCTTTTATGAGCTTTCACACATACTGCTGTTCTCTTCTCCCAGGCTAACGAGATTCCAAAAACCATGATATCTATGCAGATATACAGCTGAGCAAGTAAAACTACTGTACTGTATATGAAAAGCCTCTAAAATCTCTGAACCTATCTGTAATGATACTTTAAAATAAAGGATAAACATTAAAGCTAATCTTACTGTAGCAAGGAACGGACTCAGAATCTTTATAATTCTAAGGTCAATGAAGATTACACAAGTTTACTTCCCTCTCTACAAAGGGCAACAGATGTCCCTTGTCTTTTGACAAGTATTCCTATCGCTTTCTCAGAGATCCCGTCACCTCTGTCTTCCTGCCAAAGCAGGGAGAATTATTACTGCTTAAATTTGGGAGGTGCAGAGAGAAAAGGATGCCCTCTTGACTGCAATTTTCCCTTTTCAGAGAAATGAGGGGAGGGGAAGGTAAATACAAGAATACTGTACAGTGGGGTCTCGACCTACGAACGGTCCGACTTGCGTACTTTTCGACGTACGTACAGCTCCAGCCGCAAAATTTCGGATCGACTTGCGGCCAGAGCTTCGACGTACGGACTGAAAAGGCAGGGGAAAAGGGTGGGAAATCAAACCATTGGTGGCGAAGAGGCTGCTTCTTTCGCTCTTTCGCACCAACGGTTTGGAAAAGGGAGGCGATGGGAAAGCCCAACCAGAGCAAGCGAAGGGCAGCGCAGCAGCGGTGGGGAGAAGGTCTTGCTCCCCTGCCGGGGAAACCTATTAAGGAGAGACTCCCTAGCCATCGGTGGGAACCCACCCCTCCTCCCTGCTCAGCGCCCAATGGATTTCCCCCATCGCCGGGCCTCTTACATGCAGCCGGAAGCTGGGCTGGCCGTCCCTTGCAAGCCGGGGCTATTTGCAGGTGAGTTCTCCCTGGCTTCCGTCATCGCTAAGGGGAAGCCGCCCAGGGCCTCTTTGGCACGGCGGTAACCGATGCCGGCCAGCCCTCGCCTGTGCTGATGACTTTAGGCATGCTGGGGTGTGCGTGGCCACCGCAGGAGGAGCAGCGGAGAAGCTGTAAAGCTGCCCGGTGGGGGGAAAAGCCCTGTTCGGCTCCCGCCTTTCTCCCCCCCGCCCTGCCCGGCTTCTCCGCTGCTGAAACCACCATTGGGGCAACCCTTTGGGAGAAGCCGGGTGGCGGGGAAGAAAGGGAGGAGCTGATCCGGCCTCTCTCCTTCACCGTGCGCCGTCTCCTGCAGCGCTGCGCCCGATGGCGGTTTCGGCAGCGGAGGAGAAAGGCAGCGGGGGTGGCCAGGCTCGGTGGCCAGAGCCTTGGCCCGGCAGCGGGGGTTAAGAATCCAGGAGGCCTTCTGGCAGTGGGGGTGCAGGTAAGGTTCTGCTTTTTGCTTCTTTAAAACTATTTTTTTGGTCTTTTGCAGGGTGGGATTGGGCTGGTGGGGTTATGTTTGTGTTTGTTTTGTTTTGCAGCCCCAGGGGCTTGCAGTGTTTTAGTTTTTGGGGGCATTTTTTTCCTGTGGGTCTGTGCTTAAATGTGCTGGGTTGCAAAGACTGGGCTAAAAATTTCAAAAGTGCTTTTAACACTGTTCCCTGCCTCCCCCCCTCCGTTCCTGAACTCTTCTTGACCTAAGAAAAAATACTGTAAAAATATATCCCCATCTAGTGGTAGAAGGCAGAATAGCAGCTTCCCATTAGTTTCTATGGACGGGAAAGAGCAGATACGGATTAAATGGTTTTCAATGCATTTCTATGGGAAATGCACATTCGACCTACGAACTTTTCGACCTGCAGACTGCCTTCCAATACGACATAATTACTTAAGTCGAGACCCCACTGTACTTTCGTTTCCCCCAGCCAACCACTTTAAAGGATTTTACAGTGTTGTAAGAAGTTAGTTTACCCAAATCAAGTTCCACTTACGTCAGGCGGGGCCTCATATACCACTATGTGAGGTTAAATAACTGCAGCTACAAGCATTACAGGCATGAACCTGTCAAGCGGGCTCCTATGGGCCTTCTAACTACCTCAAGTACTGAACAACTTAATTCTTTCAAGGCCCACACTTCTCTGGAACAAGAAACACCAAGAAGACAAACGCTCGGTATTGAAGGGGGGGAACCCCACACACATGCCGCGTCTCCCCCTAGCTGGGCCCCCCCGACACCCCAGCTGCGCCCCCCCGCCCCCCCCATCCGTCTCGTCCCCCCCCCCCCCCCCCCAAGCCGACTCACGGTCTTTGAGGCGGCTCTTCCGGGACGGCGGCCGCCACCGCGGCTGAAGACACGGCCGCGACGGTGCCTGTTGGCGCTGCGACCGTCGCGGGGCTTTGTTGCTGCTGGAAAGAACGGAGGGACTCGAAGGCCTTCATCAGCTTCTCCATGGTGGCCATGGCCACCTCCACGCGCGAGGACACGGGGCGGGGGCGCTTTCGCCAGCGGCTACTGCCAACCTCGCCCTCTCAAGGGCGGCGGCGACAGCACCACCACCGCTCGAATGAGAGAGAGAGAGAGAGGGAGAGAGAGCGCACACAGACACACACAAACGCGCGAGCGAGCGCGGTCAACCCCCCCCCCCTTAGCGCAACGAAGCGCAAAGGACTTAAAGCGGGGCGTCGCTCCCAATCCGCCACCAACACACGGCCGCCATCTTGAAAACCTCCCGTCATTCCCCCAGCAACGTCACCGGCGGAATTTCTCTGCCCCGCTTCCTTCCCTCGGCGATTCCGGCGGCGGCCGAGGCTTCTGCCGAAACGGGAGCGTGAGAGAGGGGCCGTAACAAAGAAGAGGAGGGCGCTCACCCCACTTCCCTTCTTTAAGCGCATATTCATTCAGGAGTGCAGACTTGCGGGGGAGGGGGCGAGTTCCCACACACAACAAATGGGAGAGGGAGCCTGCAGTGCCAAGAGCTGAGATGGCCGCGGCACGCAACGTGTCTCTCTCTCTCTCTCTGTGCCTTTTCTCTTCCCGTTTCGTCGCAGCCTGTCCAGCAGTCCTCATGCAGCAGTTGGTCTATGAGAAAGCGACAGTTTCTCTGTTGTTCAATAACAATCCACTTAAACTATTGGAGTTTCAATGGAGTCGTAACTCATTTTCCCCAAAGGTGTACTTGTTGGGAGGGGAAACGTTAAATCAGCCCACTCCCTGGATTGATAAAAACCACCCATTCCCAGCGTGCAGCGCTCGACCAAGCAGCTCATTTTGTTCGGGGGTGGGGGGGAATAAGTGACAATTCAATTCTCAGTGGCATTTTTTACTCATTTCTCCAAGAGAGGAAGCGCAAATACAAGCTGCTTGGACCGCCCGAAGCAGCTTCTCTACCAGATGTGGAAATCTGTATTGGAGGTAAACGATTCCCCCATTCATGCAAATAACGCGCACGGTTTCCAGTCAGCCAAATTATTTCGGCACGTGAAGCAGAAAAAGCCTCTATATACGCCCTCTCCTCGTTCCCAGCCAATGGGATTGTGATTCATGGGTTTCTCCTCCACCCGGAAGGGAAACATCCCAGCAAGAGCGGAAAGGGGGAAGGAGGTCGCTCACGCTCGTAACGAGGAGCGCCTGTGAAGGCC